GTATTGACAGGCCTGAATAGAGAAGACACTTCCACTAGTAGGAGATCTGAGGGCCCAAGGACACAGCCTCAGGGTGAAGGGACAACCCTTTAGAACTGAGATGAGGAGGAATTTCTTCAGCCAGAGGGTGGTTAATCTGTGGAACTGATTGCCATAGAGTGCTATGGAGAGGTCAGATCATTGAGTGTACTTAAGATAGAGATAAATAGATTCTTGATTTGTAAAGGGATCAGTGGTTATGGGGAGAAGGCAGGAGAATGGGTTTGAAAAACACATCAGCCATGATTGAATGGCAGAGCAGTCTGAATGGGCCAAATGGCCTAATTTTGATCCTATATCTCATTGTCTTATGGAATATTTCATCCTGTAGTAATATTTTCCAATCAACCTGTTCAGATTTGTATGTCACACCATTGCATTCCAGATCCTGACCCCACACAGTATCCACCCCACCCAGAGTTTACCAACCACCTCATATCCTGCCCATAATGACCCATCACAGTCTCATTATTAATTTCAGGTTTGATACTAACTTTTACCATGATTAACTACAACCCAGTCCTCCAACATTGTCCATTATCTTTCAACAGCTCTCCTCCAACACCTGTCATCTGACATCTCTCTTCCATTGTTCTCCCAGAGCTCTCCTCCAACAGCTCTCCTCCAACATCTCTCCTCTGATACCTTTCCTCTGACACCTTTCCTCCATTATCCTTCAACATCTCTCCTCTGACACCTTTCCTCTGACACGTTTCCTCCATTATCCTCCAACATCTCTCCTCTGACACCTTTCCTCCATTATTCTTCAACATCTCTCTTCTGACACCTATCCTCCATTGTCCTCCATGGTTTTGCTGGGTGGAATTGCTCTCAGCTGAACCCAATCTTATTTATCTGGTTGTAGCCAGAGAGTCTCCAACAATAGCTCAGAGACTGGCATCTCCTGCACTCGACAGTGCCATGGAGGAGGTCATGGCCGTTGCTGAAAGAGCAGCCCAACAGTCCCAGGGCAAAAGGAGGTGATATGTGAGAGGGGTTTGCGGGCTGTGGGGTCATGGGAAGAGGAATGCATAGGAGTCAGAGTAATAACAGAGGTGGTTTGGCTCTCAGTGGACACCATGCCCTCAATCAGGCACTGACTCTCTTTGATTGAGGGACAACCCCCTCACACTCTTTTTGTATCTGGGGTTTCCACATGTCATCAGGCCCACCTCAAGTTGTGCAAATCCCAGGAATAGTGGGAAGAGCCCCTTAAGTGGTCCTTCATTGGTATCTCAAGATCCTCATTTGGCAGCTGGGCGGGGTTATGGGTCTTCTTGCCCACTGCCTAATTCTGGAGGAGTGAGGAGGGTAGATGGTGGAGATTGGTTTCACCACTACCCTGCCCGCATAAACGTACTTGCTGGCCCCTATCTCCCCAGCATTAGGGGCTGAAGGTTTTGCCCTGTGATTTGAAGCCCCACTCTACAAATTTCAGCATAAGTTCAAGGTCAACAGTCTCAGTGCAGTCCTGTGCTAACCAAATACTACATTATTGGAGTTACTGTCCTTTTTGATGAGATATTGAACTGAGGTCCTCTCAGATGGATGCAAAATATCACATGATGCTGTTTTGAAGAATCTCAGAGGAATTCTGCTGAAGTTCTGGCCAGAATTTTTCCCTCAAGCAACACAACTCAGGAGTGTTTCCTCATTATACATTGCATTTTTTGTGGGACCTTGCTGTGCAAATATTATCTGCCATATTCCGTACAGCAACACTTCATTAGTTGTGAAGTATATTAAGTCCTGAGGTCATGAATAAATACAGCCTTTCTTCCCTTGGTGCCTTATTCAGTTTGACCCCTCTCTGTCCTGCCAGCTGCTTCCCTCCTTCACTCTTTCATATGTCCCAGCACCCAGAGGCTTTAAGACCCACGATTGCAGTCACCTTTCTTGTTGCCTCCTGATTTCTTGGGTGCTTTCTCCTCAATGCTGGTACACCTTGGGCCTTGAGTCCCTGTCTCAGTTTTTAATAAACTCAACCTTTTGTCTCCAGAAGCTCACTTTGTAGGCCTCTAGCTCCATGTTTTGCTTTTGCCCATGAAACAGAGGGTGGGCGTCTGATTCTGTAAACGGGAAGGGATGGTCACACACACACGTACTCCTGGCGATGGCTAGTTTCAGTTAACCTTTAATGAAATAACAATTATAGCAGGTTACAAGAGCCAGACATCTACTGACTGTATGTAAATGCGAGTACAGGTTCCCATCTATTCTATAATTAACAACATAGCAGAATAAATTATGCAGTGGTTTTATATACACACATGCTCAATCAAATTATAAGAAACAAGCACAGAAGCTAGGAGACTTATTGAGACAAGGGTCAGGGAGGGGAGTGAGAGGTGAGTTGAAGGGGCTGCTAATGGTAATGCTAGACTGGACATTTAATGGAATTATAAGGTGCTTTTGAGTGAAAATACATGGGTAAAAGGCTAACTTTGAGGCTGGATTTGCACATAAGCTAACTCCCAGTGCAAGAGATTTAGATATTTGACATTTATATATAAACTGTATTTTCATCCACCGTGGCAGGGCTTTCTTCACTGTCCCACAGCTCCTCCACCAGCCCAGATTTAATCCACATGTGAGATTGCTCTAAGGGTTGACAAACCTCCAGGGTTGTTCAGATTGTTAAATGTTAACCTACAGGACTGGTGCAAGCCACTCAGAGGAGGAAAAAAATCACAGAGGTGCCACCATGGGACAGCATGGTGGCTCAGTGGTTAGCACTGTTGCCTCACAGCACCAGGGACCTGGGTTCAAATCCAACCTTAGGTGACTGTCTGTGTGAAGTTTGCACATTCTTCCTGTGTCTGTGTGGGTTTCTTCTCACAGTCCAAAGATGTGCAGGTTAGATGGATCAGCCATTGCTAAATTGCCTGTAGTGGGAAATGGGGGTGGGGGGGTGAGTCTGGGTGGAATGCTCTTTGGAAAATCAGTGTAGACTTGTTGGACCAAATGGCCTGTTTCCATACTGTAGGGATTGGATTCTATTCTAGGTCTCAAAAGCAATGTGAGAGTTTTGTTTATTAATTTGAATGGTATGAGAGGGGAGGAAAAGAGGCTGTTTGACTGGGTCATGGAACTGGGTGCAGGAGGTCAGGTGATGAAACCTCCAAGAATTTGTCCTGCCAGGTTGGCAATCCTGGACTGCACTGCTGTCTATTTGGCTCATTTGTGTTGCTTTAAGTCCCTCCCTTGAACCCCAATTCAGCAACAAAATCGAGGAGAAACCCACAAAAGTTTGATGTTGGCTCACCAAGGCTTTGAAATGTGTGGGTTGGGACCAGTTCGATTGCAATCTCCCGGACTTGACTTCTAGTCAGTGCCAAGATAGCTGACAACAGTTGAGAAGCAGTGAGGATGGGAACATAGGAACAGGAAGAGGCAATTTAGCCTGTTCAGTCAGTCCTGCCATTCAATGGCATTATGTAGCAGGGGTGGGGGCTGCTGGGTGGTTTGTTCAATATTCCCTGCATATATTTTTTGAACTAATTTGTACCTGCTTTGTGAATTTAAACAAATTTATTTGTATCAATGGGAGCAATAGTGTTCCTTTTTCAGACAGCAATCATAAACAAAAGCAGGAATAGGCCATTCAGCCCCGTGATCCGCGTTTCAATAAGATCAAGGCTGAACTGATGTGGCCTTAACTCCACTTCCCAGTCTGTCCCCTTAACCCTTGACAATCAATAATTCTCTAATTAACTCAGCCTTGAATTCTATAAAGCGACCCAACCTCCATGGATCAGTGGCGATGGGCTTCCAAAAATGAGAGGCAGGAAGGGACTTCACGAGAGAAGGGGAGTGAGCAAACATCGATGTACTCTCAGTTCCCGCTTATTTCCCGGGAATGAAGGCCGGCCCAGCAGAGGGCAGCAGCTTTCAAAGCAGCACCTCAGTTCCATTAAATGCAGTCAAGGCGCGATTGTGACTTCTTTCAAAAAATCGTGTGACAATTCTACAATACAACTTACAGCGGAGCTGAGTAAGGAGGGAGGGGGTGGGGTTTGATGCGGGGGCGAGGGGGAGAGAAAGTTATCAGAATCTAACATGCCAAGAATGTCTATAGAATATTGGTAAAGTTCTGTCGAATGTTTTTTTTTGATTACAGTAAAATGCACGGAACCCAACATCCTCGCGGCTGCAGATTTTAAAAACAAATCCTTCTCGTTTCAGCACCTGACGAAATGGAAAAGGGACCGCCGAGTTACAGCACAAGGTGGGGAAAGTGACTGGTTCCATGATGGATCAAACATGACCCGGTGGAAATGGAGCATTGCAACCTTGGGCCATCAGAGGGGGGAGAGAGAGAGAGAGAGAGATAGAGAAGGGGAGAAGGGGAGAAGGGGAGGAGGGATTGGGTCTGCTCTCTCAGGAGACATCCGGTGTTCGGAAGTCTGCATTTCCTTCAAGCAGAGTCTCAGAGAAGCGACCTGCTCTTTTTCAATCACTGCACACTCTCTCTCTGAAGTTCAGTCAGGCCATGGGGGAAAAAACCCCTCCACACCTCTCCTGAATTCATTTACTGAAGCAAATCGCTTTCGGAACTGTCACCTTGGTCCTTTGCTAGCTCTCCTGTACAATAAATCACAAGGATAGCCAGGAGTATGGGATCAGGAATGTAGGATCAGAGATAAGAGGAGCCCAGTACGGGGCTCCGGATTTAAACAGTGATCGACTTCAGGCCTTTCACAGTAGGCGTCTTTAAAAAGCATACAAGTTTAAAAGAACAGCACGGACAATCCAGTGCCAAACTGCAACAGTCGTTTACGTTTTATGAACCTTGCTGTAGATCAGTGTTGGAATGGTTATGTATATTGTGAAGTCTTGTTGTCCATTAATAACTGACACTTTGCATTAACATGAAATGAGCATTTGTTTGATTTACACAGACCTTAATTCCTCTCCCAGAATCGTCCCCACCCCACCCCACCCCACCCATACAAGCCGCTCCGTCTTGCTTTGTCCCATTTTGTCAACTGCCTTGTGCCAGAGGTTCAGTGATTTCCTGTGAAGAAAACCTGTCCTTAAGATTTCTGCTTTGAATTGAAAGCTTGGTCCCAAAGAATTGAGCTTTCCTTGAAAGTAAAGCGGTCTAAACATGGTGTGTAGAGTGTCTGAGGTCTTTCCTCCATATACATGAGCGGGAATAAGGTCCGTCTCCACTTCGCTCCTCTTCAGCTCTGGCCCAGGCGTTGTCTGGAGTTCTATTGCTGATACATGAGTCGGTCCAGTCTGTGCCGAAGCGTTTAGTCTGTGTGATTGGAAGGATTTAGCCAGCAGCCACTGTTCTCAATTTATTGCCCCTCTTGGTAGGAGGGGAGAAGGAAGCATAGATACCTTCCTCGTCATGGAGCTTAGCTTCCTCCATGGGATCAGTCTACCATGAGAGAAGCAGGCATAATATTTCCACAACAACAAAAAAAAATACACTCTTACAAATTGTCAAAGCAGATATACAATATTCCAGGAGGGGAATACTAGACCCTAAGCAGTCTAGCTCCCAGTTGTGGGGGTAAGGTGTGGGAGCGGGCGTGGGGTTCCTGGATCAGGAGATGATTGATCTGAGGGTGTGGCGGAGGGCCCTGGAAGTTCAGGAGCGGATGCTGAGCTGGGAATGTCCCACCATGTCTCAGTCCCAGTTTGAGCTGTCCGTAACAAACATCAGGCAAAGCTCTCTCTCTCTCTCTCTCTGGCCTTGCCCGTGAGCTCTCGCAGTGGTCAGATGTCCTCAATAAGCTTGCCCCGTTTCGACCTGCAGCAAACCCAGGACAGCGGAGTGCTCGCTCAACTTCATTCGCCTCTGTGTGGACAGGCTCACGTTCTTGGTGAGGTAGTCAACTGCACCTTGGGGAAGGAAGGAAGACAGACAGACCCCGTCAGGCTTAGTGACCGCAACAAACAACCAACCACGACTCTCTCTCTCTCTGTTTTCCCTCTCACGTTCCTCCCTTGCCTGGCCCTATTAGCAACAGCTTGAGGCTATTTCGCAGATCTAACAGTTACAGCGCAGAAAGAGGCCATTCGGCGCATCTCGTCTGGGCCAGCGGAATGAGTGAAGGGTTTTCACCGCTACCACTAAACTGGGCAGTGAGCTCAGGACGGTCATCACCCTCCAGGGGAAAGAAGAATTTTCTTATGTTTCCTAAATTCCTTCTGCCAATCATGTTAAATCTGCAGCCCCGGTGACTGACCTCTACTGGGGGGACCAAATCTTCCCTGTTCACTTTATGCAAATCCCTCATTATTTTGCATAGTTCAATTAAGTCACTCCGCGGCCCCCTCTATTCTAAGGAAAACAACCCTAACCTATGAATTTTTTTTCACAAAGCCGTAATTTTCCAGCCCAGGGAACATTCTTGTAAATCTCTTCTGCTTTCTCTCCAGAACAATCCTAGAACAACATGTCCTTCCTGCAATGCAGTAACCAGAACTGTACACACAGCCCTAGCTGTGGCCTAACTATGGTCTTATGTACCTCCAGCATTATAGTTCTGTTCTTGTGTTCAAGCCAAGGAAGGAGAATATTCCATTTGCCTTCTTCAGCATTTGTCCTGCCACCTTCAGGGGCCTATGGATATCCACTCCAAGGTCCCTCACTTCCCTTCCCCCTTTCAATATCCTCTTGGCTTATTGTGTATTCCCTTGTTCTGTTTGCCTTCTGCAAATGCATAACTTTGCACTTCAGTGGACTGAATTCCATTTGCCTCTTTTTGCAATCAAACTATTGATATCTTCCTTCAGTGAACAGCATTCCCTTCACTATCAACTACCTGGCTAATTTTTGTGTCATCTGCAAATTTCCCAATCATGCCTCCCATATTTAAGCCTGTCATTAATACATACCACAAACAGCAAGTGACCCAACACTGAGCCTTGTGGATCACCATTGGAAAATGCTTTCCATTCACAAAAGATATCCATCGGCATCCCTCTTTCCTTTCACTGAGCAAATTTGGACCCAACTTATCACATTCCCCTGTACCCAAGAACTTTACTTGTTGTGACCAGTCAGCTATGTGGGATGTTGTTACATGCCTTATTGAAATCCACATAGACAAAATCCCTCAAAAATCCTTGTCACTTGTTCAAAAAAAATTAGGTTAGTAAGACACAACCTTCACTAAACAAATACATGCTATCCCTGATTAATCCATGCTTTTACAAGTAACAGTTAATTCTCTCTCTCAACATTGACTCTAGTAATTTAGCCACTGCCAAGATCAGACTGACCAGATGATAGTTGTGGCCAATTCCTCACACCCTTAACACCATAAAGTGTTCCAAGACATTTCACAGGAGCATAATTCAGACAAACATTGATGCTGAGACAAGGCAGGAGATAATAGAAGAGGGTGCAATTATTTGACCAAAAAGGTAGGTTTGGTCATGTGGGGTAAAGGAGAGAGAGAAGCAGAAGGATGGAAGGAGGTAAAGCAACAGAGGACATTGAGGGAGATAGAAGGGTGGAGGAAGATAGGTGGAGAGATATAGATGGGCAGAGGGAGCTAGAGGGGTGGAGGGAGATGGAGAGGCAGAGAAAGTAGATGGGTGGAGGGGCGGAGGTTACAGAACTAGAGAGATGTGAGGTGAGGAGAAATACAAACATTGTATCTAAGGGCCCAGGCCTTTCCTATGTAGGCAGCACCAAAGAAGACAGTGGATGAGTGATCAGGAACAGCCTGATCTTTCCCCTTCTCTCCCAGGTCACTGAGACTGAAGATGAAAGCCCATAGCCACACTCAGCTGAGATGAGTGAGTTTGGCATGAGCCAGAATATCAAACCACATCAGGTTGCGCTGTTACACTCTGAACTATTGGGGGAGCATTGGGAATAACACACTGAAGAGCACTAGCACACCCTGAAGGCTCAGGGCATTTGAATTGTGAACCCAAGGACAGGGAATGCTCTCTGTGCTCATCAGCAATGAATTTTAATCTAAAATAAAAATACCAACATATCAGCAACTACGTACTTTTCCCTTGTTCCACACCACATTGAAAGGGTTAAGTTTTGGCCCTGGAATTTAGATTTGTGTCAGTTCAGGAGTGTGAGAGGCTTCAAGGCCTAGATATCAGGCTTGAGGTGCAGTGACACAGTCCTGTATTTGGAAGTGCTCTCTTGATTTACGTGGGATGATCTTTGCTTTCTGTTCATTACTTCTCCATTTACTCTGCCAATAACTGTTCTGTGTGAGCTGGCACAGCAGACAATCACTCCTAATAAATAAACAACATTTCAGCGTGAAGCACTCGTCATTTCTCTGCCCAAAGGGGGGAGCGGTGTTCGATGGAAAGCCTTATTACCGAGCTGTCATTTCCATTTAAATTCACTTCATGGTCTAGCACAAAAGGCTTTGATATTCTTTGGCACCAGCCTGGTGATGGGGGATTGGCTAATTAATACACTGAGCATGCTCAGTGAGTGCACCATGGAGGATGAGGCCTCATGGCTCCCAGTAGACCCAATAAACATTACCCAAGCCCTTAGCACACGGGCTGGAGGGTGATCTGTTGGCTGAACTAAATTATTCAAAGGTCAGCTGAGAATTTGTTCTTCGATTCTCACCATATTATTTGTGCTCTGTATGCTTATAGGGCATCTGGGTTCACATTGTGGTTACACGGTTGTGGGTGGGAGGGGTGGGCTCAAACTGTGGTTATGGGGGGGTTAGGGTTCAAACAGTGGTTACAGGATTTTCTGGGTTCAGACTGTGGGTACAAGGGTTGTCTGTGGTCAGACAGTGGTTACAGTGGGGTGCTCTGGGTTCAGACCGTGGATACAGGGGGTGTCTGGGTTCAGACTGTGATTACAATGGGGTTCTCTGGGTCAGACTGGGGTTATGGGGTTCTTTGGGTTCAGACTGTGGTTATGGTGGGGGGTCTCTGGGTCAGACTGTGGTTATGGTGGGGGATTCTGGGTCATAGTGTGGTTATGGGGGTGTCTGGGTTCAGGCTGTCATTACGGGGAAAGGGCTGGGTTCAGACTATGGTTACAGGAGGGGGTCTGAGTTCACATTGTGGTTATGGGATGGGGGTCTGCATTACAGACTGTGGTTATGGGGTGTATGGAATTTGGGGTCAGACTGTGGTTATGGTGGGAGGGGTGAGGTGCGTGTTCAGACTGTGGTTACGGAGGGGAGCAGTGCCTGGGTTCAGATTGTGTTTACAGGGGTGGGTGTGGGTTCAGACTGTAGTTAAAGGTTGGGGGGGGCGCGCAGGGGAAGGAAGAGTGGTCTGGGTTCAGATAGTGGTTCTTCCCTTCCAAACCTCCGCTGTCTCCATCATCTCAAGAATAAGACAGTTCTGTTTGAGATTGGGGTTGGAATGATATCCTGGGAGCTGGGGATGGAGTGATATCCTGGGAGCTGGCAGGTGGAGTGATATCCTGGGCTGGATGGGATGGAATGATATCCTGGGGTCTGGGGGTGTCAGACTGCAGATCAGAGTTGGAATTCTAATCTCCACTGCAAGGATCAACCGTGCCACATTAGATCACTAGTGAGTGATTATTGATGCTTCACAATAAGGGGAAAATATCCAACAATGAACTATTCCTAGAGACAGTTCCATACAGTGAGTAACTGGTAAGATCTCTGACTGTAAATCAGGTTCATGCTGATTTAACAGATTGATAACTGTTGGCAAAAGAACTAGCTATGGTTTGAGGAGATGGGATATTTTATAATTTGTTATGATCTAGAATGTGCTACCTGAATGGATAGCACAAGGAGATTCAATAGTAGCTTTCAAAAGAGAATTGGATAAATACTTGGAAACAATGAATTTGAAGGACTATGTTGAAATAGGCCACAGAATGGAGCAAATTGCATATGTCTTCCAAAGTGGCAAAACAGGCAGATGGTACATGAATAGGAAAGGTTTGGAGGGATTTGGGCAACTGCAGGCAGGTGGGACTAGTTTAGTTTGGGATTATGGTCAGCATGGACGGTTGGACTGAAGGCTGTGTTTCAACAGTGTATGATTCTATTGAACAAAAGGCCTTCTTTCACAGATTGGGAATTGGTGTGAGGTCAGAGCCAGAAAGCTAGCATATCGGGTTTGTTCGCTGACTGACTGGATGCAGCAAGTCATCTTCCCAAGAAAGTCTTGGCATCTCACCATCTGGATGAAAAAATAGTTACGGGTGACACTAAATTCGGAGCCACAGTAATGTGGTGGATGAGAGAAAGAAATTACAAAGGAATGCAGACTGAATAAGTGAGTGGGCAAAATCTTGACAGTGTTTGAATAGGTGGGGCTAACCTTTGGCCTGAAAAGACAAAGGAAGATTTATTGAGATAACAAGATGTAGAGCTGGATGAACACAGCAGGCCAAGCAGCATCAGAGGAGCAGGAAGGCTGACATTTCGGGCCTAGACCCTTCTTCAGAAAATCCAGAAATTCAGCTCTACACCTTGTTATCTCAGATGCTCCAGCATCTGCAGTTCCTACCATCTAAGGAAGATTTATTGATGGATGAAACTGGGAGATTTGAGTGTCCATGTACACAAACCCCTAGCAGCCAGTAGAGAGAGGTCTAATAATCAAAATGCTGTATGGAATAGGATATACAGGGGAGGATATGAGATCTCAGTGATATCAAAACTTTGTCAGATACAATCTGCTGTATTGTCATCAGTTTTTTGCTTCAGGAATGAAATATTGGTCTTGGAGAGATTGTATACCCTATCGCCAGAATAAACGGGTTAAACAATGAGGACAGGTTGCACAAATCTAGTTGGTTTTCCGTTATGTTGAGCAGGTTGAAGGATGATCTAGTCAAAGCAAGTACAATGACAAAAAAAAATTGACAGTGTAGACAGGACAGAAATTCTGGTGGAGGA